CAGCCCGGAAGACCCACACCAGCCATTGTATGCCGGCCGTGAAAGCCTTTGACAATACATTATTGGGATACTTTATATAATTGTGGTGATATATTGTGGCAATATTGAAAAGGAGGAAAAGTATTGCAAACATTAAGTAGAAAGAATTGCAGCAGAGAGCAGTGGATGGGGAAGCGGTGACTCAAGTTAGAGCAAGCTCAATGCCCCAGTGAGACTGGTCTGCTATGTGGCAATTTATTCCCATACACATGGGTCAAATGCTGTAAACATTTTCAGTGCAAACAGAGGAATTAAGGTGAATGAGAAATTTCATGATGCCTTGGTCCTCCTTTGCTTTCCTGTTTATTCCCCTAGAATTGCCAGCATCCTTGCAATAGCTGGTGGTGTTTCCCCCTCTTTAAGTGAAATCAGAAAGCAATGCCCTCACCCTGCTTTGGGCTTTGTGACACAATCACATGGCCTTATATTGAGTGTGATATGTTCAGTCACTAACCCAGGAGAGAGCATTTGAACTCAGGTAAAGGGCAGGGGTTATGCATGCTGGCCTTGTCCCCTCCAGCCCCTGACAATGCTGTGTTAAGCAACAAGATCCAATGGGGGAATTCTTGTGTTCCGCACACTGTGTGAGCAAAATTGAAGGAAACCTTTGTGCAAAGGCTTTTACATCCCCATAATTAGAACTCTTCTTTAGACTCTGCTGCTCATAGTTTTTTGGCTCGATCACAGCATAAGCCACAAATTGTGACTTCGTTCTGATATTACTGAGTTAAACAGAAAAAATAGTCGAAAGGAGCCTCATGGAACACTGTCACTACTATCCAAACCAGAAACCTTTCTTGTAAGAAGTAGCCCACCACCACAATGAAAAATAATTAGAAGGAGATCTTTGTCTTGCTGACTATGTCATTCTACAAACACGGACAATAAATTTCAGGGCCGATCTTGATGAGGATGTTCCTTATTTCCTTCTGTGCTTTTCTTTCTCCCTTTCTAGCTGCTGCAAGAGGCCACCATGAGTTCCCTGTGGTGCTCGGGCAGTGGAGATGTCATCGAGGACTGGTGTCGATGTGATTCAAGTGCATTTGGTGCAGATGGGCTTCCAGCCTGTGCCCCCCTCCCACACCCTGTGTATGTGTACATCTTTAAACTTTAGACTTAAGATGATGCTAAATGTTCTCTAGGGAAATGTGGCCGTATTAAGCATTCTTCTTTGTAACAAAAGGTTTTTCAACATCAGAGATAAAGGGAAAATCATAACTGAATACTAAGGATTTAGCCCACAAAACTGTCCCTTTCTCTTTACCTGTTTCAGGTACTTTTTTTTTTTTAAAGGAGCTACAACTGACTTCTGGGCATCCTGTAAACCTTATCAGGTTGTTACCTGTACCAAGAGGATGCATATGTGCCTTGGGCTCCATACCTGTATCTCCCAGAATAGAAAGTAGCTCATGAAGTTCCCCATGTGTACCTAGCCTGTTCCTCCAGTGGTGTGCTGCTGTTTGTTCCACCTAGGAATGGGCAGGAATTAATTCTGCAATTAATTAATTCTAATTACAAATTAGATTTTTAATCTCTATCTTCTTAAAATGAATCAATGTACAGAAGAATCAATTAAGAAGGTAAAATAATTATCTGTCACACATTCGATCAAAAGTCAATGAAATCCACATTCTGTTCCCACAGTGGCAACCAGTCATGAATAGGGAGTCCACAAGTAGGACACAATAGCATGTCCTGCTCATGTTCTATAGAAACTGACCTACTGCCTCTGTCACTGGAGGTAATATATTCTCCTTCATGAACATCTCTAATCCTCTCATAAAGCAATCAGAGTCTCTGACGACATCTTGTGGAAGTGAAATCCAAGAGTAGAGTAAAGAAATGCCTCCTTTTTACTGCCCTAAAATAGTCTGGAATTTTCACATCATTTAGTTTCATTGAATGATGCCCAGGTTCTAATATTTTGAGAAAGATTAGAAAAAAAAATATCCTTATCACTTTCTCTACATGGTTCATAATTATTATGAGAGTACAGGCATGTCATCAAATAGAAGATGGATAGGTTTTAACATCTGCTGCCATTTATTATCTGAACATCCTATATTTAATAATATTAAATGTATTTATTCCACTTTTGTGAAATTTGATGCATATTATTTTGGGCATACATAGCAATGGACAGCCAAATTTTATGGATAACTTTTAATATTTAATCAAGATATGGCAGTTTAAAAACCTAAAATAATTTGAAATTACTGTCAACTGACTGAACAACAACAACCACAACAAAAAAATAACTTTGGGGTGTATGTGAAGGGAAGCAATAAACTGTGTGAACTGGTTAATAATAAAAGTCTCTCAACAGTGAATTGATGATTACAGAAGGAATCGTCCATTTTAATGAGAAAAATATTGGCATAATTAGCTTGCACATAATCAGAACATGTGAAGACAGTCTATCCTCAAGAGAAATGGTGTCTAAAGTTCACTTACAAAAAATTCCAACAGAATCATGCTTTGTTAAAATTAAATCTTCCATGGTATGCTGGGCGTGCATGATAAATGTAAGCCACCCTTTGGATGACCAGAGATGTGACTAGGCAGAAGAAAGAAAAGAGGAGGAAAAACTGTATTCCGTTTTTCTACAGGTTAGTGTGTGTGGGTATGAGAGATTGGGAAGGATGGGCAAGAATGGTGAGCAAGCTGGATAGAATTTTCCAATAATGCAATTTATGCTGTACTGAAGTTAGCCTATTTCTGTTTAGAAGAGCTGACTTGTTCTGAGAATTGCTTAATAAGAATAGCAATCTTCCCAAGCAGAAAAGATTGCCTTTGCTGAACTTCAAATAAATGGAGATTATATTAGCTGTTGCATCTATAATCCTCTGCATATTCAAATCCCCAAATATAATGGAGCAAAGAAAGAGACATAAAAAGCAAAGAAAAAAAAGAAGCATCAAGCAACTTCCAAAAACCATAATAATGACAATAAATCCCAATTCAAGAGATGTAGGGCTTTGAAGTCAGATTTTCTTGCATTCTTACACCTGCTGCCTGGTACTGAAAATGATTCAGAGCTGCCTGGAACTACTGCATTTGTGCATATGATCGATGGGTTTCTTTTTCCATGATAAACAGGAGCGTTGAGTGGAGGGTGGAAATGGCCAGGAAATATATCCAGATCTGCTGGCTATAAGGAACCAAAATGGATGGTAGGTCAGGGTTTGAGATGGTTATCAATGAGAGAACCTTTGGGAAATGCAAAGTCTCAAAATCCTCTTACTTTGAACTGTATTTTATTTTCAGAAACCTTTTAGAACTCCAATCAGGGGTTTTGCTTATCTACAGAAGTATTGTGTTTTTAAAATCTTAATATTCCACAATGCCCAAGAGAAATCTAAGGAAAATTGCCATTAAGTATCTTCAGTTCCTCATATTCTGCAAAGGGCAAGGGCTTTATAAAGCCATCCGGGGGGGGGGGCCGAGCATGCCTTTTGTGAAATTCTTTCTATTAATTTCTCTATATCCACTGTTTGGATTCAGGATGTAAATGGAAATATAAGCCCTGACAAGTATAGAACAAATACAGAGAATCAAAAGAATTGAAAGTCTCCCCTAATACTGATCAGCTCTTAGTCTAATCTGTTCAGGTGACAGAACAAGGAGAACCACTTTTTCTT